GCCTCTGTGTCCCCCAGTGTCCCCCAGCGTCACTAGGGAGCCCCCAGCCCCTCTTTGCACCACTGCAAACTGAGGTCCCCCAAAACGTGATCCCCCCCTTCCCCTACACTCCCCAGGGCTCACATCCCCCCGCTTGCCCCTAAACCATCAGCCGTGGGGGGCCACGTTGACTTTGCCCTTTGGGGTACAGGCACCCCCAGGCGCACGGGGGTCACGGGGCGGAGGGTTGGCAGCAGGATGAAGGAGCTGGGAGCTGCAGAGGCTCCTACACGTATTTTTTATAGCGCATATTCCTCTGTGCGCTTCACCTCCCACTCACGATGCTGCGGCGCGTTGCATAATCCTTGCCTGAATTTATAGAATTAATTGTTTTGAAAGGGGGAAAAAAAAAAAAACCACTGTTGTTTTCCCCATTTACAGGCCAGCTAGGGATTTTTGTCTTTTATCGTATGCTGGGAGCAGCCGAACAATGTGGGACAAGTTGGTTTTGCCGAGTGCTGAAGTTGGATGGGAGTTTGTCGAAGCTCTGAAAGCAGCGGAAAGCGTCTTCGTGGTGAGCAGTGGGGATGCAACACGTCAGCCTCTAGCTAAGCCTTTGCCTTRCACATCTGAAGGGAGCTAGCCCTAACGCACAAAAAGTCAAAAATGTATTTATTAATCATGGGGTTTTTTTCCCTGCATAAAAAATCATCTATCAGATACAGAGGAATAAAAGTCCTGGTGCTCTCATTGATTTTTCTAGGATCCCAACCACTTTGGACAAAAATCCCACAAAAGCAGTATCATAGTCCTAGCAGTGAAGGATGAAAACAATCTATAAACAATCTGTAAACCAGGTGTTTCAACAGCTGAGCTAATGTTGGCAGGACAGTTAAACAATAAAATCATTTCAGTAGCGGTGATGAGTAATTTCACTGTTACTCATTTATGTGAGAACCTGACTTCAACAAAGGGGTTTCCTGTGGTGTTTTTTTTTCCTCTCCAGTATTTTTGGTATCTGCCTTTTATTATTTTTTAATATTACTATAACTTGTGCAAACTCACCTCAGTTTTGAAACTCTTTATACTCTTAGTTTTGCACTGAAATTGGCTTATTATAATCACATTAGGTCCCAGTCTTGTAAAGATGCATTCATGCTTAATGTCAAGCGTGTGAATAGCCCAATTAAGCTCAGCAGGATGACTCGTCTACAAAGTGAAGTATGTACAGACATCTCTAAACATCAGGGGCCATATGTTACAACACCAAACACCAAACCAAGTTATCTATCACTTAATTTTTAAGAGAGTTGTGGAACTAATGTGTTATTTGAAAACAAAACATTAAAACAGTCTGAATTTATCTCACATCCCAGATGCACAACCTAATTCAATTTCTTCTCTCTTTAATGGGTGCAAGCTCAAAACCATGAATGTCACTTCAAACGAAAGAAGCAGCCAAGACAGTTCAAACAGAATGGTGCATCTTCGATCATAATTTTCTTCATTCTTATTCAAGTCTATATTTCCACTTGAAAGGGGAGAAAATTATCATTTGGAATTCAAAACTGACCTTTACCTGTGTGTTAATTGAGTAGAACTCACAACGGATATGGAGGTATTTATCTTGCAATAGGAATATATTTGGCTGTTTGTTCTGTAGCCATTTGCTCCAGAATTGTTAGAAAACCATCGCTAACGTTGACGTGTGCACAGTAAAGGTTAAAAGCCTGGTATCTAAAGTGATTAGCCTGAGACACAGTTAATTTCAGT